GCTGGAGGTCCTGGTTTGATGGGGCCAACAGGACAACGTCATCTGCAAAAAGCAGAGACGAGATCCTGTGGTCCCCAAACCGGACTCCCTCCAGCCCCTGGCTGCACCTAGAAATTCTGTCCATAAAAATAATGAACAGAACCGGTGACAAAGGGCAGCCCTGCCGGAGTCCAACATGCACTGGAAACAAGTCTGACTTACTGCCGGCAATGCGAACCAAGCTCCTGCTCCAGTCGTACAGGGACCGGACGGATGTTATAAAATACCACTTGAAATTCAAAACTACTTGCTCTTTTAAAGCTATCTAGCATTCTTTGGTTAAAATTATTGATGAGATCAACGAGCCCTATTTTAATCTTACTTTTATCTTTAGTCACACTAACCTGCTTCTGTTAACCACTGCCATAAAAATGACAGCCCGTTCTCTGTGCCTAAACTTGTCTACTCCCAAAGGTCTCTTTGCTCCTTATGAAGGCACTGTAACAGTGCCAGGCAGAAATCTGGAAAGCTGAGTTAATCTCTCCTGAATGTGCAGCCTTTAACCACCATGCTCAGTGTCTCACACAGAACAGCCTCTAACTTCAGTCAGTCTGAAAACTCTGCCTCTCAAGTCCTTGAACAGCTTCTTTTATGAATCCTTAACAAAACACTTAAGACTAAAAAATCTAAAACCTTTAACCTTGGATACTGGCAGTTTATGTCCTTGGTGTCTTTGAGAGTTGCTTTCTGTCATCAGCCCCCTTCAGTCATTACACAACATGTGAACTTTGACCCTGACCTTTACAGCCACGTCCTCTATCTCCGTGGGTTTCATCTGTCGCCTGCTTGGCTGCTCATAGTTGTTCATCTGGTAGCGCACTGGCTGCTTCCTGTTGATGGCCTTGGTCTTGAGGGGGGAACAAAAGGACAAGGGAGAGATGGGAGTGTGGGGAGGAAACAGAGATGTGAAGTTAGCATTAACTAATAAAGTTAAGACATCCTTGCATCTGCTTCAGTTCCTTGGGAAGGAGAAGTAGTAGTGTAGGTTCCCTGTGATAGAAGCTACCACATTATCCTGTTCTTATTCTCCAAACACACTGCAACTACAGACTGCATGTTGTACAACTGACTCCAGTACACTATATTATAGATATCTGCAACATCACCAAGAGTTATTGTACATGTGTATGAAAATAAATAAAACTGCTGCATCCTGCAGCATTAATGCCACTCTATAAGCAGCAAATGCAGAAGTACAGAACAAACAGCATGCTGGTAGTTTTGCTAAGTAGTTACCTAAGGCCAAGATCATCACATTTAGGATGGATGAACTGGGATTTCTTTGTCTCTTCAACACTGTGCTCCAGCTGTCTATTAAATGCTTTGTTTTTACATATATGGCACTGTTCAATAATGCTCAGGGACAGACACTAATAATTTTAAGCACTGGCCCCACAGGCAACTAAGCCCTTAAATTTGGTGGCCAAAGTACATTTCTGGTGGTCCAAATGTAAATATTTATAAAAACCATTTAACACAACTTAACACAGCCTTCCTTAAACACTTCAATAAATGAAAAGGCATTAACACAATGAAAATATGTGACTATTTGCTTCAACTGAAAACTCAAGTTCATTTGTAGAAATTCATATATTCTTTCTCTTAGTTCAGCCCCATGCCAACGCCTCTGCCTCATACCCGCCTTCTTTTGCTCCCTCCCTCCCAGCACTGTGCCGGAGTCCGTCACGCCCACAATAGAGACATAACAAAAAGCACTGGAAAACCTGTAATACATACCTCCAACTGTAGCCTTCTTTATCACAATACATGGGCAGAATGAATAGGTTTTTTTTTAAATAATTATTTAAGTTGAAAACAAGTTCTTGGAAAACTTCAGTTTTTTGCAAACTCTCTCTCCCTCCCTCCCTCCAACCATCGTCCCTGCATCAGTCACGTGTACACCGCAATTCATTACATCGTTAGATGTGTTAAATTCTAGTCACTTACACTCCTGCTTCCATTCACTCCTATATTTTCGTTGCAATTTTTCATAGTCCGTGTTTGTGTTTCTACTTCTTCTGTGACGATCGTGTTAGAAGTTTGATTAGGCCTAGTGAACCCATACCTCAGTAGCCTCAACAGCAGCGAGCCAGCAACAAATAACCTCACTAGTCACGGTTTTTGTACAATGTTTAACTAAAGCACAAATGAAGCTAGTTGTTTGTGGAACAATAACGTTGCATTGGTAAAGTGCAAGGGGAGTCTGAGACATGGAGTCTCATTCTCAGTAGAGACCTGACAAAGCTTGGTGGCCACAGCAGGCCACCTGCCGGGTACAGTCAGGGAAAAAATTATTTGAACCCCTGCTGATTTTGTAAGTTTGCCCACTAACAAAGAAATGATCAGTCTACAAATTCAATGGCAGATTTATTTGAACAGTGATAGACACAACAATAACAAAAAAATCCAGAAAAATGCATTACAAAAAAAGTTATACATTAATTTGCATTTTCCTGAATGAAATAAGTATTTGATCCCCCATCAGTCAGCAAGATCTCTGGCTCCCAGGTGTATTTTATACAGGTAACAAGCTGACATTGGGAGCCCTCTCAGCTCGTTACCTGTATAAAAGAGACCTGTCCACAGAAGCAATCAATCAATCCAGATTCCAAACTCTTCACCATGGCCAAGACCAAAGAGCTTTCCAAGGATGTCAGGGACAAGATTGTGGACCTACACAAGGCTGGAATGGGCTACAAGATCATCGCCAAGCAGCTGGTGAGAAGGTGACAACGGTTGGTGCGATTATTCGCAAATGGAAGAAACATCAATTAACTGCCAATCTCCCTCGGTCTGGAGCTCCATGCAAGATCTCACCTCATGGAGTTTCAATGATAATGAGAACGGTGAGGAATCAGCCCAGAACTACTCGGGAGGAACTTGTCAATGATCTCAAGGCAGCTGGGACCATAGTCACCAAAAAAACAGTTGGTAACACAGTACGCCGTGAAGGACTGAAATCCTGCTGTGCCCGCAAGGTCCCCCTGCTCAAGAAAGCACATCTACAGGCCCATTTGAAGTTTGCCACTGAACATCTGACTGATTCAGAAGACTGGGTGAAAGTGTTGTGGTCAGATGAGACCAAACCCGAGCTCTTTGGCATCAACTCAACTCGCCGTGTTTGGAGGAGGAGGAATGCTGCCTATGACTCCAAAAACACCGTCCCCACCATCAAATATGGAGGTGGAAACATTATGCTTTGGGGGTGTTTTTCTGCCAAGGGGACAGGAAAATTGCACCGCATCAAAGGGAGGATGGATGGGGCCATGTACCATCAAATCTTGGGTGAGAACCTCCTTCCCTCAGTCAGGGCATTGAAAATGGGTCATGGTTGGGTATTCCAGCATGACAATGATCCAAAACACACGGCCAAGGCAACAAAGGATTGGCTCAAGAAGAAGCATATTAAGGTCATGGAGTGGCCTAGTCAGTCTCCAGACCTTAATCCCATAGAAAATCTGTGGAGGGAGCTGAAGGTTCGAG